AGTGTCACTTCTGTACCAACAATATCACCCTCAGACTTCTACAGAAATCTTTCCACCATTAGTAATCTCAGTGACTAATTGTCTCCTATGGAGGTTAATCTTGTTCAAGAGTAAATACCCTACTCAACACTGTACTATTTTCTTTCTTAAATTCATATTTAGTGTTCTTTATCCTAGCACCTAGACCCTCCTCATATAGTAGCAAAATCTATCTGCCTTTCTAAAATTATGCACAAAATGTGAATGTCTCCATTCAGTACTCTGGCCTGATGAAAAACTATTTCCAGTCAAACACCATTGTTGGCATAGGATTTTCCCTTGGTGACACACACTGATCTACCTATATAACCGGTAAAAGCATGTGCTGAAATCTGCCTCACTGCCTAGTTATGTTACTTAGTTAGGGATTCCTGGCTGCCACAGGGGTGTTTATTTTTTTTTCTCTAATTACATGATGTTGAATAAAGGATGTAAAAGTGCTGTAAGCTTTTATCTATTGATTTTACTCCAAAGTTTCATATTGAATCAGAGAGGAAAGTCTTACTGAACTCTTTAAAACTTTCCCTCTTGCTTTTATTTATACAGTATCTTCAGTATGTTATCAAATACACAATAAAAGAACTCTGGTCAGTTCAAGGGCATTTTCTCCTCACCATGACTCTGGTGCTGAAGCGGGGCCAACTGACCACTGAAGGCTCTTCCACAGTCACTGCATATGAAGCACTTCTGTCCACTGTGCATTCTCTGGTGAATAATAAGGGATGAGTTCTTACAGAAAGCCTTCTTACAATGACTGCGTTTGTAGGTTTTCTCCAGTATGGTTTCTCAGGTGCACAATAAGGGAAGAACTCCCATTAGATGCTTTCTCACATTCATTACACTGATACGTTATCTCTCCAATGTGAGTTCTTCGATGTGCAATAAGGTGAGAGCTACAGTTAAAGGATCTTTCACACTGATTACATTTATAGAGTTTCTTGACAGGGTGGGTTCTCCGATGAGCAACTAGGTGACAGCTCTGACTGAAGGATTTCCCACATTTATTGCATTCATAGGGTTACTCTCCAATATGAGACTTTTGATGCCTAACAAGATGAGCCATCTTGTTATATGACTTTCCACATTTATTAAATTGATAGCATTTAATTCCAGGATGAATACAGTCCTGGCAATTGTAAGGTTTCTGTCCTGTGTGAATTCTCTGGTGGGCAATGAGATGGGAGCTCCAGCTGAAGGCTTTTCCACACTCCGTACACTTATAGGGTTTTTCTCTTGAATGAGTCCTTTCACATTTACTAAAAATCTAGTGATCCTTAAAAGCCTTTTCACATTCCTCACATTTAAAGGGTTTTTCTCCCCTGTGCATTCTTATGTGAGCAATGAGATGGGATCTCCAGCTGAATGACTTCCCACATTCCCTGTAGTTGTAAGGTTTCTGTCTAGTATGAGTTGTTTGGTGTCCAGTGAGATGGGAGTTCCAGTTGAAGGCCTTTCCACACTCATTACAAACATAAGGCTTTTTTTCCTGTATAAATTCTCTTGTGTACAATCACATGAGAATTCCAGCTGAAGGCTTTCCCACATTTGTTACATTGATGGGGTTTTATTCCAGTATGAGTCTGTTCATGTTTGGTAAGGGCTGAACTGTTCCTAAAAACTTTTACGCATTTATCACATTCATAGGGTTTCTCTCCAGTATGCGCTTTCTTATGTTGAATAAGAGCTCTAGATGAAAGATATTCCACATTCATTATACTCATAGGGTTTCTCTGCTGTGTACATGCTTTTGTGTTGAGTAGCAAGAGTTATATCCAAAGAATTTCTCCCATTCATTGTATTTATGTACTTTCTCTAAAGTATCAATTTTTTGATGTCCCATAAAGGCTGAGCAGTAAAAGATATTTTTATATTCTTTGTAATCATACTGGTTTTCTCCAGTATGAAGTCTTAGGTATTTATTAAATTATGGGTTCTGGTTATAAATTTTTTTTTTTTTTGGTTTTTCTCCGGTACCGGGAACCGAACTCATGACCTTGCACTTGCCAGGCAGGCGCTTTTGCCGCTGAGCTAAATCCCCAACCCCTCTGGTTATAAATTTAATGGCATTCCTTACATTCATATAATCTTTTCCTGTGTGTATCCTTTATGATCACCAAAATGTATGACATTATTGAAGGATTTCATACCATCAGTACATTTGAAAAGATTGTTTCCAGTGTGCATTCTTATAGGATGAACAGGTTGAATGGACTGGGTAAATGCTTTGTCACATTATTGTAACCAGTAATTTTATCTACATACATTATGACCAAGTTTCATCTCTAACTTTCAGCCTGTGTGTCTGGCTTATAAAAATGTTCTAATTGTGAAACTTTAAGAGATGGAGCAAAGTTTAAGCTCTCACTATATTCTGCCCCAAGTTCACAGCATTCAGAACCTCTTTGACACAGTACTTGTTTCTTGCTTGAGGAGCATTCACCTCATAGCTCTACTCTGGTTCATGTGGTTCATTTCTAATTGGTCTTTATATCTCCAAACTCCTAATATGGAGAACCAAGAATCATCCCATAGTCATCTTCCCAACTTCATGCCATGGGGTCGTTCTTCCTCAAAAATACTCTGTGCTGAGATCAGTGCTTTGCTTTCAAAATTTATCATCCACTTTAATTCACTTTTGTGTTATTTCTTCCTGCTTTTCACCATGACATCTGCCTGGACAAGAGTTCTGAGGATACACAGGCTCCACTAAACATAGCTTCTCTCCTCCCTCCAACAGTGGGGTGACCTCAGGCTTGGTAATCTGGTGCCCCTCACACAGCAGGTGCCTGAAGGTTTCAAGCATCACTTCATAGTATGGGATCCTCTGTGTAGGGTCCAGGTATCCCACTTCTCCTATATGAAGTCCACAGCCATGCCCCAAAAGGTCACTGGCGCTTGGACCTGGGCTGTTGGAAGCTCAGCTTCCCTTCTCCCCTCCTCATGCCTTAGAGGGTTAGAGAGCCCAGGAGGTCCATGGGTCAATAGCTGCCATCCCCCAGGACTAGTTCATAAGGGGACCCCATGAGCTTCAGGGGTTGATGGCTGCCGTTCTGCAGACTGATCAACCAGTCTCCAGCCCAAGAATACAGGAAGTGTCAACCTGGGATGCGTGTCTACACCAATGCTGGGGAGGGCACTGAAGAGGGCACAGAGGCTAGAACCAAGGATGGGCACACATGCAGAGCCCTGTGGGTGGTTAACATTAGGTCATGTGCTGACGGCAGTGGGTCGGGAGCAGGAGGACTGCAGCCTGTGCAGCAAGGGCACTGTGGGAAACTTGGCCCACAGGCCTTCCACTCCATGCCCACACCCCCGACACGCTTGGTGCCCTGGTGAGGCCTCATGGGTTTTTTCTGTTTTTACTATTCAGGGCGAGTTGCCAAGGCCATCTCATACTCAGTTACCTGTGACCAGATCCTCAGAAGTGGTGGCACCAGGCAGTTGCTGCCAGCCTTATGTCCTGAGAGTGAGCTGCCTACCCGTGGACAGATGAGAATAGTAAGCATTTCTTTGGGTAAGAAGTAGATGTTGTCCTGAGGACCTTGGAGTGTCACCACAGCCTCTGTCTCCATGCGCCTATCATGGGCCCATCATGGCCTGGTGTGGACCATGTGTTCCTGGGACACGGGGTTGAGGCCATGGTCCTCCAGGGCCTTTGGGCTCTTCTGGATTGAGCAGTGCACCTGGCTGTGGCGTCCTCAAGGGTACACAAATCAATGATGACACCCCAATTGCATTCCTTGGAGCTGGACAGAATAAGTGAAAATTCTTAAAGCATCCTTCTCATCATAACTGAGGTCCAGCATATTGCCACAGACAGGGACTGCAGGAGCAGTGTCCCATTTTGAGATCTGCACGTTCCTTTCCTCACTTGGGTTTACCCCTGTTCAGCCCCATGCCGGGGCCCTTCAGAGCATGTCTTCAGTGGGATTGGCCAGGCTAGGCTAGTTTGGGGTTTCAGTGATCCTTGAGATGGGATCCCTGAGATGTGATTGGATTTTTGGAGAAGGGTACTGAAGACTCAGTGATTTTCCCCCAAGGCTGTGTGTGTGTTGTCATTAGTGCTTGTGATTGAAGAGGTTGGTAGCCTCACTGTGTTCAAGTCCAGGTCTTCATTTTCCTGGGAGAGGGCAAGATCAGCCCTTGAGCAGGAGGTCCTGTCTGAGTTAGCTGACTGTGGACAGGGTCCAAGTGGATGGTGGCTGTGGAACAGGAGGCTGCTCTCCACCGCTAGTCTATAGGAGTGAAAACTCTGCCCTTCTGGGCTGAGAATTGCCCAGTGACATGTACACAGTCCAAACGTTGGGTATACAGGAAGCCTTGACTTTGGGCCCTGTGCCCAGGGGATTCCAGAGCAGGTGTCATGGAGAGTCTGAAGCTCTTGTCATCTGGTTGGCTAGATCTACCATCCTCCAGATCCTGCCCCATCAAAGTACCCTTCATTTTTGTCTACATGGAAGTCTACGTTTGGCCTTTTGGCTTTCCCTGGGAAGTGTCTGCTTTGGTTTCAGGGTAGATATAGCCTAGGCCTCCCCTTGGTGGTGACTGTTTTTTGCTGAAAGTTACAGTGCATTGTGTTCCAACCTTGTCTTCCCAGTACCTTGCAAGAAAAGGTTCTTGGCATGCCCTTCAGGGCCAGCAGTCCAAGCTGCATGTTTACGGTGCAAATATGGCTCTGTTCTTGTGTGCTCTTTCTAATCTCTCTGTGGGCAGGTGTCCATCTCTTCTGTCTCTGTCCTGTAGCACTGTTGGCCACCATGCCCCTGCCTGATGTTGGCATATATTTGAATCAAGCTGTGCTCAACCCACTGACCCTGAAATTCCTTCTCCACAGGTTGGGCTCCCCATTGGGCTTCCCATTTGTCTAACACTGAGTGATGCTGACAAAAGTGAGAGATGTTGGAAGAGCTCTGTCTCTCTTTGGTTTTCAAGCTCTCCTGCTAGGTTGAGGGTGTGAGGCATCATAGGATGTGTGGAGGCTTTGGATTCCCCACACTGAGCATGGTCTGTCTGGCTGCACTCCTCAGAGAAGGTGGGTTTGAGATGTAGGTGTCATGTGCACGTAGTCTCTGTGACATGCTTCATGTGTCCATTGCAAGTACAAGAATACCCAATATGTCAGGCTCTGTGGTTAGTGCAATTCTCCTTGGAGCTCCAGCGGACAAACTGCATGGTGCCAGTGAGGTAAGGACCTGGAATTCAATTTCCGTCTCCCCATGTGGACAACTGGACTGAGAGACCTGGGCATTCTTAGTATCACTGGCCTCCACTGAGGAAATACTGATGAGGTGCTAGGGTGCCCTTCTTCAGGGAGATGGGGTTGTGTCTATTTATGGTGGGTCAGGTCCATACTATGGCCTACAGAGCAGCATCCCAGGCACAGATGTCTCTATTCAAGGCTTTGGACTCTGCAGCTTGTGGCAATTGTTTGTTTTCCATGTTAGGTTTTTCTTTTGGAAGAAACAAGGTTCCATTCTCACCCATGAACACTCTACCTAGTGAAACCCCTTCCCACTCCACAGGTGGTGCATGTCCATTCACCATGAGGTCCCTTGCCGCCTTCTGTCATGTCCTTGTATGAGGAATGTGCAACCCTGAAGGATGTGTAGAAGACATTGGAGTTGTCCTGCTGTTGATCGAGACCCCTTGCTGTGCTGCTGTGGTGTGGCATGGGGAAGATCCGGGTCTAGAACATGGGGTACAGTGAGGACCTGATAACATGCCTAGTGAATCCCTCACTGCGCTCTTAGACAGGGTAGGCAAATCCACATGCCGTCAAGTACAAGCACATTCATCTCATGGCCCATGGAAAGAAACAGAAGTATCCACATGGGACGGTCTTGAGGTAAATTAGAAAGAGCAAGGGGAGGAGAGAGTGAGGCCTGGCTGGGAGAGCATAGGCTCCACGAAATGGATTACTTTCCCCATCCTCACATGTGGTTTTTTCTGTCTCTTCTACTCAGGGGAAGTTGCCTGGCAGGCCTATCTTCGCCTGGGCATATGTGGTTCCCGATGACCAGAAGTGTCATGGAATCCTGCAAGCCTCATGTCCTCCCAGTGATCTCCAGCCTGGTGTCTGATTGAGGGTGGTAAGCATTGCCCTTGGAAGCCTCTAGATGTCTTTGTGTGGACTGTGTGGAGACCCAACACCTCTGTCCCTGTAGCCTGAAGTGGACCATGAAGTTTTAGCCCTTGTGTGGACTGTGTTCATGGAGAACAGCTGTGAGACCCTGGGTCTTTCATGGCCTTCAAGGTCCTCTAGTTGGAGCTGTTCTCTGTTCCCCTGGACTGGCGGGTACCTGAGGCAGTGCTGCATATGCTTGGATGGATGATGACACCATAATAACATTCCATGGAAAAGCTGAACAAAATAAGTGGCATCTCTAAACCGTCGTTCTCATTGTAACTGAGATCTTACATGTTGCCTCACACAGAGACTGCAAGAAAGGGGTCTGCAGAAAAGGGGTCCATGTCTGTGTGCTCACAGTCCTGGGTCT